TATCAATGCTTAATAAGGGAAATCCACTGTAGAGGATGTTCTCAATAATCAGATGACCAACAAAACTCATTTTGTGATATCTGGTAACCCCTCTCTCTCTAGAAAGCAATGAGGCTCAATGAAGGCTGTAAATAGGCTCAACAACATAAAATTCCCCTCTTCATGGCTGATATGGATACAGCCATTGATGATGCTGAGTGCCCTACCTACCAACAGTAGATGTCAACACCAAGCCATCAGAATGGCACCATTCCTTGGAGTGATCTGGAGAGATAGGTTACTATCTAGCCATCTGGTGGCAAATTGATTACATTGGCTTCCTTCCATTATGGAAGGGCAGCAAGTTGTCCTCATGAGAATAGGTACATATCACAGATAGAGATTTGTTTTTTTTTGTCTGCACGGCTTCTACTAGCATCTTGACCCCTTTAAAGAATTCCCCATTGTGCTACTTCATGCAACATTGTTCTGACTGAGGAATTTAGAAAATATTTGCTTCCTGTCCCACAACCTTGGGCATGGAAGGTTTAGGGGTACTAATCCCAAGAGAGAAAACCTTCCACAAGAGATAAAGCCATAGTTCCATTGATGTAGAAGCTAAGACTGCTTTCTGGCCATTTTAAACTCTTCTTACTACTAAACAGATGAGCAGAGACTGATCCTTATTAGTAACGGGAAGTTGGCTCCTACTATACAAAATGGGTAGGGAGTTCTATGGCTAGAATCCAAGGTATTCTTTAGAATAACTCTTAATATTTCCATGATCATTAATAATACTCAGTGGAAAGCTGTGACAAAAAATAATAGAATCTCCAAATTCAGGGACATGGGTTGAAAAAAATTCCTTTGAGCAGCAAAAACTGATCAAAACTTAGCCTTGAGGCGAGGATCCAATCAAGGCTAAAGCTGTTTATTCCCATTATTAAAAGCCTTTGAATGGATTAAGGTAGCACACAGTAAATCCTTTCAATTGAATAAAATAGCTCAGGGAAAAGAGATTAAAGGTATGTATCTCCCACCTCAGCCTGATTGGCCCAAGGCTTGTAATTAAGTTGAGGCAGATAAAGCATGGGGGCAGGAAGCAAATATTGTAAATCTAAGAAATATGTCTAGAAAGAATTCTGGATGTGGCTGTTGGCACATGTAACCAACCAAGGCAAACATTTTAAAAACTGCTAGGCTTTTAAGAGAGTGTACTGTGGGAGAAATCATGAGCATGGACAAAATAATCTTTTCCTGTCAAAGGATTAAAATGACCCTTGGTCCTAACTTTCTGGGAGGCTGGGCATCCCGCTGAGGAAGTTGCTCAGCCTCCAGGGAGGACACAGCATCCCAGTCTCACTTCCAATTCAGAGGTGACTGAGAAGGATAATTTAAAAATAAATAGAAGAGTAGCCGAGAGCCAGTGGAGAAAAGTTAGGCGGGGCTGGGGACCCTTCTAGGAACCAGAATTACATTCTAAACAACATTCTCCACTCTTCCAGCCTAAGGGTCCTCATGACATTCCTAGCATTGTAACAGGATTTCTTTTCCTTCAGTGCCCCCGGTTCTTGGTCACGCCGCTTCGGAGAATGAAGAGGCAGCAGACCAGCTGAAGAGTGGTGGGCAGCAAAGCAAAGTTTATTAAGAGTACAGTAAAGTACAGATAGTACAAAGCTCCCAAAGAGGGAGGGGACCCGAGAGGGTTGCCACCAGAGTTTCTAAGTCTAGGAGTTTATATGGGCTTGTTGGTAAACTGTTTTAATCTGAAAAACCCTCCATGCATCTAATCGGGTTTTTGTTATCTATCTACCATGTGGGAAAGTGGTGTAAAATCCTTTTAAGGGTGCTTTCCTCTTAGGGCGGTGGGGGGTGGGGGGGAGCCTTGTCCCTGCCTGCCTTTCTTCCAACTATCCTTCATCAGAATGATTTCAGAATTTCTACAGACATTGACTTCACTGTTCACCATTTATCACCTTTCCTGATAATGATAGTGATCTGTCCGTACTACCATTGCATATTGGGGTTGGCAGTTGGGGGTTTGGTGCTAGATGATGACTTGTTGTGCATAGATCTCCAGACAAGGAAAAGACATGTCAGGACACTTAGCATCACTGGGAGATCATGGGCATTGAAATAGAGCTATGACTTTATGAGACTTTGCTTGGGAAGTGAATCAGTATATGTTTTAGAGGGAGAGGAACTCAAATATTTAGTGACCAGAGGGCAGACTATTAAAGTGATTACTGTTGTTCACTGAATATTTTATTTTCCTCCCTTTTGGACACACGGTTCACATTATACTTCCTGGCCAACTTGAAGTTGCTTTGATGAGTGAAACATAAGCTGAATTCTATTATTTCAGGTTGGAAACTCTTAGTGCACAATTTGCTGTGCCCTCTCTTTTTCTCTGTTATAATTACCAGCAACACTCTCTAGAGTAAATATTCTATTGTCCTGAGTAAGAGCAGTACTGAAGGGAGTTTCAGCTCACCCATAAAGGACATGTGGTAAGAGAGAGAAATAAATCATTGTTTTTTTAAGCCTCTAAGATTTAAAGCTATTTATGATGATGATGTTAATGATTAGCCAGAACATTCTCTCATTTATTTTTTTCAAAATAAATTCCTAGACCAGAAAAAACAGAATCATTACTAGACCAGAAATAAGAGTCTATTTGCATTCACCGCATAATTTCTCACTCTTTCTAGATTCTCACCTCTTCTTTTTCCATTGAGGATCCTATAAGATGCACTTTCTTATCAATTCCTTACTGATTATTCTTAATCTAGTAGTTTCTACTTAACATTTCTACCCTGGCCACATTGACATTAGTCATGTAGTATGTTTCTATACGTAAGTTATTTCTTAAATATAATGAAACTCATTATTATTTCATTATTTGAAAGAAGACTAAAAATCGAGTTTGAATAATCCTGTGGGGGAATACAGATTTAAATGGTACATGCATGCTTTGTCAATCAAATCAACTATTTAAGAGTTATCAACGTTAAGACAGCTTGCAGGGTGGATGTCTTACACATGAGTTTCTTCAGTCACACTTACTGAAGGCTCTGAAAAGAAAGACCATCTTTACGGTATCATATCTTATTGCCAAGAACAAGGAGTTCTAGGACGTTCTTTTATTCATAATCATCATTCTCCTCTAACTAAATTCTGGAGCATCTTTGAAAATAAATCTCTCCCCTTCCTTTTTTCCCCCTTCTTTTCAAAACCAATGAATTTTACGCAAGTGTAAGTAGGAGCAGAAAGCCTTCAGATCCATGAGTAAATTACAAAAAGTGCACCACCGTGGACTTGATTTCCCTACTTCTTCAGGGACCAGGAAATGGGAGATACCAGATCAGGGAAATGTTCTCTTCTGTTTTTAATGGATGAGAAGGTGCTAGGGCAAATTCTGAGGGGCCTTTGAATCTGTGCTTTGGGGTCCCTTCTGCTTCCCAATGTGCAGGTTGAGGAATGACAAGAGTCCCTTGCTGTTAAGTGTGAAAAACCAGCCAGAGAACTGCAGAGACCTCCCTGCAGCTAGAGCTGGCTCTGGCCGGTCACTTCTGGAAAGGTTGGGTTAATGGTTCCAATTCCTCTGTATGTCAGAATGTCCTCGGGAACTTTGCGAAGAAGCAGATTATTTGATCTCTCATTAGACTAGATAAATAAGAAATTTTAATTGACAAGCTCTCTAGCTGATTGTTAGCAGGTAGCTAGGCTTATACTGATGTTTGGGGACGGGTGCTTTAGTTGACACTGGAGTTCAGTGCTTTCTAATTTGGGGGTGGGTTCTTGTCGACCGCCTTATCCACATTTCCTCAGTTTCCTCCTTTCCCTGCACAACTTAGAGGCATAATTAAGGCAGATTTTCAAGATGTCAGTATATGAACATGCCAAAATGCCTGTAAACTTAGTTTGCCGGTTTTGTTTGTTTGTTTGTTTGTTTAAAGATTTTATTTATTTATTTGAGAGAAAGAGAATGAGAGACAGAGAGCACGAGATGGAAGAGGGCAGAGGGGGAAGCAGACCCCCCGCCGAGCAGGGAGCCCGATGCGGGACTCGATCCCGGGACTCCAGGATCATGACCTGAGCCGAAGGCAGTCGCTTAACCAACTGAGCCACCCAGGCACCCTAGTTTGCCGTTTTGAAGTTCTACTATGAGCATGATGCTAATTGAACATACAGATTTTATTTTGTAAATTGCATTTATACTGACCTATAGCCATGGCAACTTTCTCTTTACTAAAGGGCAAGGCAGCATGTGCCCTGTGAAAATCTCAGCTTCACTCCACAGTCTCTGACAATATCTCTGAGCATCGCTTCTTTTCTTCTGGTATGAGCCAGCAGAGTCCTGCTGTCACTATATTTTGTCCCCTTAAACCACCATTTGTTTTATGCTTCCATTACATTACTGTTCGTATCTTCTGTAACTTGACATTAGCCTTTAATTTCAACTTGCCATCATTGGGTAGTCCATTGTTTTTAGTTTGCAATGTTTCTCACTTTTCTAGAAGACATTTCTGTGAGAGATAGATTATTATTATCAGATGGTTGAGATTTCTCCCAAGGATGTTAGCAGGATAGGACTCTAGTCAAATTTATGTTGACTAATATACAAACACCTCCATTGGTTAATGATCTGTAATGCTTTCCAGCATTTGAGATATATTTAAAATTAATTATAGTTTTTGGGCGCCTGGGTGGCTCAGTCATTAAGCGTCTGCCTTCGGCTCAGGTCATGATCCCAGGGTCCTGGAATCGAGTCCCAAATTGGGCTCCCTGCTCAGCAGGAAGCCTGCTTCTCCCTCCCCCCCCACCCTGCTTGTGTTCATGCTCTCACTATCACTCTCTCTCTGTCAAATAAATAAATTAAAAAATAAAATAAAATAAAATTATAGTTTTTATAATATCACAATGTTAACATTATTGTCATTCAACTTAAGTTTCTCGTGGAGGGGGAAGCCCTATAATCATCTATAAACTGAATTATTTCCATTTTTGTTATTTCACAGGGGTACAATTGGAACAAATTCAAAGAAGCAGATTCAAGAAGGTTAGTAGGAATATTTTTGTCTTACTCCCACTTTTCTGTAGTAATGCCCTATTCTGTCTAGCAGTGCGTATTTCTGATCGGCCTTGCGCTCAAATGCTGACTCAGGTTGTGGGCTGATAACAGATTATGGTGTTAGCCCTCCTGGAGCTTCCTTGTATTTTAATAATGAATTCAAAAGATCAGGTAACTTTGAGAACTAAGAGTCTAAAACTACCTGATTGGAATGCAATTCCTGCCCTTATTATGGCTCTCTCTCCTTAACAGAGGGCTTTGATGGAGGATGTATACTCTCCATCCTTCCTGAAAGCCTAAGGTGCATTTTCTCTTCATGGATGCTTACGCTGCAAGCCTCAGAAGGTTAAAGAGTCACATGATTATAGTTCATTAACGTCTGAATGCAATTAAATGACAGCATCTATCAGAAAAAAAAATAGTCAAGAGACATTTATGCCACCCTTAAATGTATTAAGTTGTTAAAGAATATAAAAATAATATTTCAACTAATGCCTTTTGCAGTGTCAGGACGCAGATATATAGAGAGAGTTCATAATTTTATACTTAATTAATGTGCAGTAATAGGCAGGTTTCTTCATAATTGAAGGACAGCCTGTGCTAAGAACTGAGTCTTTCAACATGCTTTGGGTCATAAGCTTGAATAGCCTTGCTCTGATTAGTATAAAACATACCTGCTAATGCCTTTTTTAAAATTTTTACACAGATATGGGTGGTTTAACAGAGTATATAAATGTCAGGGAGGTCCTTTGGTTATGAACAATGAGTCACAAAATGGTTATGCTTCGAAGTCATAGGTTATTTATTGTGGTTCTAGGGCATTTTGAAACTGTGGATCATTAACATAATATGGTTGTGAATTTTTTGGTTTCTGTGTCTGAGGAATTAAATGGGAAAAGGCCATCAAAGCGCTTGTCACTTTCATGCTTGACTACATAAAGGAATCTTACATAAAATAAATCCAAATTTTATGGCATAAGTTTTGGGGGTAGTTAGTATTTTATGAAGATGCTTAGCCTCCAGGATTACAAAGATGGGCAGGGATATGCAACCAAAAATCAAGCCTCTGCTTTATTTTGAATGATTCAGGTTAAAAGGTAATAAGGTACACTGATAGTTATCAGGCACGTTGGTATGCCAAGCATTGTGCATCCATTATCTCATTTAATTCATTGAAAAGAAGCCATGAACAAGGTATTCCTATCCCCATTTAACAGCTGAAAACATTGAGGCTCATCAAGGCTGATTTGCCTACTTTTAAGTTCAGGATTTCCTAAATCCAAAGCCTACATACTTTTCTCCGCGCCACACTGCTACTCTAACAATGGAAACAGTATGGAAGAGACAGTATTCATAATTTAATTAGACTTTTGCAGGCCAGTTACCAGCTTTTTAACATACTTGATTAAGCAGGCCAAGCTTGGCTTACAATAGTGTTCCTCAAGCAATGTGCATCTATTCTCTGGGTTTGCAAGGGATATTGACCTCTACCAGTCTCCCCTGCTAGTAACAATAAAACAAATAAACAAGACCTGAGCTAAATACCTAATAGGAGGAAACATGTTATTATTATAACAATTGTTAAGAGCTTACATGATCCATTCATGAATGCCCTGCAAGTTGAATTTTTAGCAAACAGAAAATACAATAAAAATTCTATGGATATCCCAAAGCTCCTCTGAAACTGTTAAGATTAAAAAAAAAATGGTTTAGTGACTGAGAAGCCATCTCTACAGTTAGTAGTAGACGTGTTGAAGCATTTTACTAACTGACTTTGTAGCTTAGTGATTTTATGCATACATTAAATACAGTATTTTACTCCCTGTGGAGCTATCAGAAGAATACTTATCTGGATGATGTTTTTGCTTCGAGTTTTTTGAAAGTAGAAAACCTAATAGGTAAAGTTGAATTTTACTTAAAAGGCTTTAAACATCAAATATCTTATCAATCTACCTCTTTTTATAGAAAATAATTGTTTTATGACGTTTTTAAAAAATGCACTTTGTCTAGAAACCTCAGATATGTGTGTGCTTGCATGTGTGTATTCTCAGAAACCACGTGTTAATCATATAAAAACAAATACAAGAATGATGACAACCATTCTGCCGACCGCCCAGGCAAGAAGCTAGTTTAGTGTATACTGAACACTGATATCATACTTCTTCAGTTGTTTTTTTCCACAAGTTTGTTTTCAGAAGAAATTCAGAATGGGCATACCTGACATCCCTAAATTCTGTACTTCAGCTAAACTAAATGAAGTGAAATTTAACAGAAGGTCTTATTATCCAGAAGAACCATTGGCATTTCCTTTCATAAAAGCCTCTTGTTCTAACTTTTATATTCTTGGGAAGAATGTTTTCATGTTGATTTATCCAGCAGTTGTTTAGGTGGCCACCAATTTTGCATTCCAAATAAGCAATGTTACCTCTTGCCTTGATCTTCCTGCTCATCTTCACATTGCCAACCTCCAACTGTTGTCACCTAAGTAACATCAATACAGTTCAGCTCTTGTCTTTTTCCCGTCGGCTTCTTAATAACCTCACACTCTCAAAGTGACCCTTTCTCTCAAACTCATTTTGTTCCTTCCACAAGCTCCTGCCTAACAATTTTTAGCTTGAAAATAGGAGGATTGCCATATTTTGTTTGCTATATATTAAAGCACACCAAATACTTCCATATTCTAACTTATCAGATGCACAGAAAATACTGTATAAATATTTCAGGTCTTTCAAATCTGAAGGGATGGGGGTCCTACATTTTAAAAATACTGTTCTGGAAGTTTTACTTTGTTTGAAGGCAACAGAGATGTAATTTAAGTCATTAGATCTCTGCAGAGATCATCTATTAAATTTTACACACAAGTACACAAGTATAAATATTATGAAAATAGCTTTTATAACTTTTAGAATTTACCAAAGAGCATAAATTCACAGCAACATTAAGACAAATATTATGAATATATCATTTCACATCTATCACACATATGTATGCATATATATTATTTTATATTGCACATACATATATTGCACATATATTATGTATGCATATAATTAATTATATTAAAGAAGATTTGTGTATCATGTGTTTGATTACATATAATAATTCTTTGGAGATCTTCATAACATAGGCAGAAGGATGTTGTTTTTTATTAAGTTTGAGGGCTTATATAAAGAGTCATGCTCTGCATTTCAGATGAGGTGGTACTGTTTTCATTCTGGAAAAATATGTGGACCTGGGTTCTCTGCCTGACACTAACTTTAAAAAATATGGAAGTTTGGGCTTTTTATATAAATTGACATCGTTTAATGACTACATACTTGTGTTTTACCTTGTTCTGCGAAATAGTGATGTAAAAATGGTATGACTTTGTTATGAACAAAGAATCAATGAAACGCTATATGCACATTGGGACTTGTTAATCAACATACTCTATACCATACCCTCCAGCATGGTCCTCTTGACATATTCTGTGATTCCAAACATAACCCACTGCCATCAATACAGTTCTCTCTCCATGTCATTTACTTGCATTTGGGTATATGTGATAATGACCAAATGAATAGAATAGGACATCAATATTTGATGAAAAAATATAAATAACTTGCACTAATTTAAAATCAAATTAAATGATGCTCATGAATGGGATGAATACTGCAAATTCTCTCCTTTAAGTGTTTTCACAAAGGACACAATATTTGGTATAACGTGCCCAAAATAGTGATGCTATCTAAATTGTTTACTTTTTGATCTAGGTGGTATGCTTGTTGTCAATAAAATAAACTAGAATAATGCCAAATGGCAAAATGTTAATATATAATGTCAAACTTGAATGTCTAACCTACTTAATCCTATCATAATGCAGAAATCTTGGGGATTCTAAACAGGCTTTCATGTTGGTGATAGATGGCTCTGAATGCTTTTAAGCGAGACAAAGCTATTAGTTCTTTAGGCTAGATATGGGGATGGGAATAGAGAAGAAACTTAGATCAGCAGATTCTGCAAAGAGATAGAATGTCTTGGACTATAGCACTTAATGCAATTTTATAAGAATTGTCATAGGGTTCAGCTTTCTATCTGAACTAGCTCTCAGTTCAGGTCATCTTAAGGAAATTCTTCTCACTAAAATAGGTTTAAAATGCTCTTAAGTTTGCTGGAACAGACAGTTTGCCAAAAGAGCATTTGCAATGGAAAGAAAGATGTCTGGAGCAATTCCCAAATGAAGTATTAAAGCAGTCAACATCTTGTAGAACATAATCAAGGGACCATTTCACATTATAATGACAATGATTTAAATAGAATTTTAATACTTACATTAGCACAGACTAAGATTTTTCTGTACCCAGAGTGACCAAAACTAGATAAAAAGAAAATCCCTTTATATTACCAAAACAAAAGTATAGAAATTACATGGCTATGTCAAGACTGCTTTCCCAATCTCTTACTAGCCATGGGCAGGCCACTTCACTTTCCTGAGTTCCAATTTCCTTCAAAATGGTATTTAATATAGCAACCCACCTCATTGTATTATTCTGAGCCTAGCACCAATAGTTAGCTCTCAAAACTATTAAGACTTTTTAATACAACTAGACTATTACCCAGCCATCCCACTTCTTGGCATATACCCAAAGTAAATGAAAGCAGGTTTACAAGGTGATATATATATTCCTGTGTTTATTATAGCATTATTCACAATAACCAAGATATGGAAGGAACCTAAGTGTCAGATAAATGGATAAAGAAGTTTCGGTGTGTATGTATATAAATATATGTAATGGAATATTATTTAGCCATAAAAATAGAAGGAAATCCTGCTATTTGCAACAACATGGATGGACCATGATGGCAGTAAGCTTAATTCTCATTAAGAAGCCAGACAGCAAAAGACAAATACTGTAATGTATCATTTACATGTGGAGACTAAAAAAGCTGAACTTGTAGAAACAGAGAGTAGAACAGAGGGTACCAGGGGTTTGGGGACTGGGGGAATT